CGTGGGTGTTGAATGTCATGTTTTTTAACAGCGGATTGATGTAAAGCAATTGCAAGTCTAGTAATACTAGCATCATTAGATAATTATTTTGTAATATAATTACAATAAAATACTAATAGTATGTATACCGAGTCTTCCGAATTAGATTTTTTGCTATCAGAATTCGGATTGATGTTGGAATGCGTGGACGTTAGGTGTCACTTTTATACAATTTTTTTTTAAATCGAATATTCCATTACTTAAGAGTTAGGTGAAAGGTTCCTGACTTGAGACTTCATACACATGCGTGTGTTTCGGGATTGTACTAGTATTTCAGATCACAATTTTCCTCATCCACACCTCTCACACCTACCATTTGACCCATAAATGTATGGAAGGAATACGTTTTAACGTTTTTTAATTGTAATGAAAAGTTGGTTTTACTGCTTTGCCTATTATTTCCTATTCCGTAATTGTGATCCTTATTCATTGTTACAACCTCCGGTCTTTTTTATTTTTCCTATACCCCTATTTAATTATCATGATTTTACGTAATGGAAAGAAAATTATTAACAACACAACTTCTAGGATATCCACGTGCTTAAACAAACGTATTTGCAATGCCTCTACAGCCAGATTGTTTAACAAAAATGCGCGTGGATATCCACAAATTTTCCCGTGCAATGCCAAAAGTGACTAACCTGTTTTAGATTAACTTCACAAAATATTGTACGGTCAACAGCGAACGGGAGAGCTTTTTCGCTCTCCTTTTCCTGTGACATTACCTGAAAAACTCAAAACCTTATATATGTGGTAACTTGAACCCAACCTAAGTGTGGTATTCAATATGTGGGACAGACGGGACGAGCGTATTACAAAAGAAATCAAGAACACCTTTACCGCTTTCGTAGACCTAAAAAATTCAAAAGTTTGATATATCAACATTTAGATAAGCATAATCACAATCTAAAATTTATTAAATTCCAACCACTTGAAACCGTTCAGAAACAATCAGGAGAATCACACAAGCAATTTGAAAAATCACGTGAAGTTCGCGAATTATTTTGGATTAAAAGACTTCAAACAGCTTATCCTCTCGGTCTTAATGACAAAATATTAGGACAGGGGAACATAACTAAAACTTCAATCGATGTCATTAATATTGTCGATAAACGACTTAGAAATAAAAGGTCTCATGGCAAACGCAAAAACCGATATCAACGTATTAAACTGCTGATCTGTTATCTATAATAAAAAATAATGGCAGACATCAAGTATTATGCAAACTGGGTCAGATACCAATAAGTAAATTATATGCTATTTTTCTGGAGTGTGATACAATTTCTTTTTTTAGCCCAATGTATGAATACACCCGTATTATTACAGCCTTTTGTCATCATAGGCTATTTCCTAGTATCGATAAACCTGAAAATCATAAACGGCATTTTCTTAAATTAAAATATATAAACAGAGGTATTGATTTTATTAACTTATCTAGTATATTCAATGACTCTACCATCCAAAACCAAATACCTCCATATTTTGATAATATAGAACCACCTATTATTTCGTATTCTTATAAAAAACCCAGCAGAAGTTTGATTTTTAATTATACGTCAGTTACATCAGACGTCAATATAGAAAATAATGTTCCTTCCACTTGAGATTGTGAAACATCTAGTTTTAGATATGTTCCCTATGGTCATGTCCTTACAGGAGACCTCAACATCGTCGAAGACCGTGAGGTCATAACTTTTCTTAAGAAAGGACCGAAATATCGTCCTCCATCTAAAATAGATTGGAAACAGTGTCGTCAGATCATTAAAGACGCTCTGTCTGTCTACTGTAAAAATTGGTGAAAACGTGAAAAATCTGATAAAAAATCTCTAGACAGCTATTTGAATAAAATTATGAATACTGTTAATATTCGTATATCTCATTTTGAAAACAATTCTGAAATTAGTAATAGGGTCCATGATATTCCCATTTCCAGAATAAAAAATAAACTCCAAGTACTCGCAAAGCGGTTTGTGTTCGTACCGGCAGACAAAGCAGCAAATAATGTAGTGGTGGTGTGACGCATATACTTCACGGAAGTTCTCCAAAACGAAATTACAAATTCATCTACATTCAGGTCCGTACGCTCCACAGAGAGTCAAATTGTAAACAAGCATATCACTGCCACTACCCAGCTTAAGGCCTCTTCCGAACATTTGAAAGTCCCTACTATGTACTGGTTACCTAAATTGCACAAAAAAACATTGAAATTTCGTTTCATCTCCGCATCTAGTAAGTGTTCTACTACTAATCTATCAGTGCTTCTAACTACCTCCCTTACTACTATCAAAGAACTTGTTGTAATAAAGCTTATGAAAATAATGGTATTAATTATTATTTTTGGAGTGTTAAAAATTCTTCAGAGGTTTTAGATAAAATACATGCTTTTGATGGTCCTTTTAATTCTGTTGACAGTTATGATTTTTCTACTCTCTATACTACATTCCACACAATCTTATCAAGAAAAAGTTTTCATATTTAATTAAATGGTCTTTTGAAAAATCTCATTACAAATTTATTTGCTCTAACTCGTTTAAAGCCTTTTTCTGTAACGAAAAAGGAAAGTATGCTAGATACACTTACTGGAAATGTGAAGATATGATTGAAGCTTTAAATTTTCTCCTGGACAACATATATGTACGTTTCGGCGATAGAATGTATCGACAGGTAGTAGGTATTCATATGGGCACTAACTGCGCCCCTTTAATAGCAGATTTATTCCTGTATTGCTATGAATCTCAGTTTATGACCAAACTCAGTAAAGACACGTCATTGTTACATTTGGTTGATACATTCAACAATACCTTCCGTTATCTAGATGATATTTTTTCGTTAAATAATCCAGAGTTCTCTAAATATACTACCGAAATTTACCCAATAGAACTTACTTTAACTAAATCTAACATAAACAGCAGTAGTTGTCCTTTTCTGGATTTGGACATTTCAATCTCTAAAGGAAAACTCCATACGAAAATTTACGACAAAAGAGACGATTTTTCATTCCCTATTGTTAATTTTCCTTTTTTAGACGGCGATGTTCCTTTGGCTCCATCATACGGTGTATATATATCCCAACTCGTTCGTTATGCCCGTGTGTGTAGTGATGTCATAGATTTTAACGAACGTAGTCAATGAATCACTGGTAAATTATTAAATCAAGGATTTCGTTACCATAAATTACGTAAAACTTTTGCTAAGTTCTTTCATAGATACAAAAATTTGATTAGTAAATTTGGCTGTACTTGTAGAAAACTGATTAAAAACGGTATTTCACATCCTAAATTTTACGGTAATATTGTACTTAAAGCGCGGAAATCACTATGTGATCCGTGTAAACTCATCGAACCTTTAAACAGGCTTATTAGTAAAGGTTATCTTACCAATGTTGTAATTAGATCTTTGAATATAGTTTACATTTGCACTAATATCGATTTTGTCATCAGCAAATTAAAACATAACTAAATTTGTATTTTTTTCAAGTGGGATGTGTAAAGACACACCCACGTTCGTTTAGATCTATAAAGAGGTTAAACTCCTAACTATCCTACTGTCTGTCGATACATTTATTTTTGGCATTGCACTAGTCATGTCTTCTTTGACTGTCCATGACGTTAAAATACTAAATCCCTGGGATGTGTTTTAGTTGATTTTACATGTTTTAGTCTCTGATGCATGATTTTTTATTATTAATTGTTTTGGCTTTTAACTAGCTGTCAGTAACTGCGAGTACTCTCAAATAGTACTTTCTTGTTTATTTGACCTGTTGATACTTATTGTATTGCTTTTTTGTTATTTGATGTTATTCAGGGTTATATCTGGTCTATATACCAGCTTTGATAAGTGTTTGGTATAACGATAAATTTTCACTTCGTACTACGAACATCAAAATTATTTATTTTGTAATAATATTTCCTTTCTCTATTGGTACTGTACACGTATACCTAACAACAAAATTATTTTCATTTACCTGTGTTTAAAGTTATTTCAAATGGATGGTATTTTTGTTCGAGCATATTGTTTTTCTTTAATTGTTTAACATTTCTTACCGATATAACATGTTACTTTTATTATTCTTCCCTTAGTTTATTTATTTTGTATTCAAAATTATTTATTTTGTAAAAATATTTCCTTTCTCTATTGGTACTGTACAGGTATACCTAACAACAAAATTATTTTCATTTACCTGTGTTTAAAGTTATTGCAAATGGATGGTATTTTTGTTCGAGCATATTGTTTTTCTTTAATTGTTTAACATTTCTTACCGATATAACATGTTACTTTTATTATTCTTCCTTTAGTTTATTTATTTTGTATTTACATTGTGTCATAGGTCAAATTTATTTGTTCAGTGTATGTTCAATGGTGTTGATATGTCCTTTGATTGAGTTAAGCTATTACAGTTGATATTTTATAGTGTGTCTTTCTATGTTGTGATGTTACACTATTGTTTCAGAAAAAGGGTGAAGGTTTGGTACCATTAAAACGTTTAAACCCGCTGCATTTGTTTGCACCTGTCCTAAGTCAGGAATCTGATGTTCAGTAGTTGTCGTTTGTTGATGTGGTTCATAAGTGTTTCTCGTTTCTCGTTTTTTATATAGATTAGACCGTTGGTTTTCCCGTTTGAATGGTTTTACACTAGTAATTTTTTGGGGCCCTTTATAGCTTACTGTTCGGTGTGAGCCAAGGCTACGTGTTGAAGACCGTACTGTGACCTATAATGGTTTACTTTTATAAATTTTGATTTGGATGGAGAGTTGTCTCATTTGCACTCATACCACATCTTCTTATATCTATTGGTAATGAATGCCGGTCGTTGATAGTTTCATTTTCCTTCGACATATGTTATACATGTACAGCATCTTCTTTTTGATGAAAAACATGTTGACTTTGTTTGGATATTTGTCATTTCTCATTGAAATATACCCTGTATCCCATTAAATCTTCTTGTATTAATATATACTTACTTAAATTGCCTTGTCTATTCATCGTACAATACTTTAAATTACATCCGTTACAGAAGATCATAATGGTCCTTACAAAGTAAACAATGGTACTTAACGGTGGTAACATCGACGATTTAAGATAATACTGCTTTATAATCGAAAATCTGTCGAATTTCCATGCCAGATGGTTGTTGTCCTGTTCTTTTTCAAATGTATGCCTAGGATTTTAAAAAAACCTAATGTTAATATCATAAGTCTTCATGAGTATCTCTTTATTTGAAAAAAAAATCACAATTTAACTAATCGTCAAAAAGCAGTAAAATTAGCAAGATGTTTCTCATATAATGCTTTGGAAAGTTAGCTCTCTTATATAACATGTATAATTCAAACACAAGTTTGTAAGAAAATGAAAGTGGTGTCATTAACTTTTGGGAAATACCTTGGAGAGCAGAGAAGGGGACAAAAATTAAGTTATACGCCCCATCTTTTTTTCTCATTGAATAGTAAGTGTCATGGATAAAGAATGGCAACAGTAGTATACCGCTGTTCGAAATTCATAAATCGATTGTGAAAAAAACAAATCCGGGTTACAAACTAAAACTGAGGGAAACACTTCAAATATAAGAGGAGAACTACGACACAACAGAAACACAACATTAAAATGTAACACACACAGAAACGAACTATAATATAACTATGGCCATTTTCCTGACTTGGTACAGGACATTTTAAGAAAAAAATGGTGTGTTGAACCTGGTTTTGTGGCTAGCCAAACCTCCCGCTTTTATGGCAATGTTAAATATCACATTAAAATGACAACATTACATGACAGGACTACAATACAGCGAATCAATTTTAGTAACAAGTCAAATAAGTTAACTTTTTCTATTTCGGATAGATATAATTGTTTTTCATTTCTTCTGGAGAATCTTACCAGGCATTCATTTTTGCGTTAACTTTGTGCTTTTTCTTTGAATTTTGGTATTGATCAATCAATGCGGAATGTTTTTGGTAGATCAATGCAATTAACCAAACACTTTCTTAATGTCCAGAGCCTATTTCCATCTTGAAACTTTATTTCCTTACGAGGTGCAATCCTGTCAACTCATTAGACTACAAGTCATGTTATGTATCAAAAGCCTAGGTGCACTATAGTATTTATTTAACATATTCTTGCATGTCTGCAACTTCTGACAATGAAAGTTATTCAACTGAGAAGTTATTCGTACGCATAAATGGAGAATTGTGGTGTTAAAAAACAATCAATCAATCAATCAATCATAGGACGAATATCATTTAATGTGACCATTAATTTTAACAATCTCATTATTTTGTCACATAAAGAAAGTCTCAATATACAATTGTAAGTTTGAGTAAATCTAAGACCGAATAATTCTTATATTTAATACATTCAAGCTATAACGCTTGTCTGGATGTGGTTTTTATTATAACACCTATTTTTATGGTAGTTTAACTCTTGCTGAATTGGTAAAGATCATCTGTATGGGTATATCAATGTCTGTTAAAAATAATAAGAGATACAAGGCTAATAATTGTGTACTTCAGAAGCGAGTTTCGTCTACACATGACGAAGTAAGTAAAGTGGCGTGTTTTTAGTTACATCGATAGTCTGTCGGGCATCAAGGTTTTCATGGATAAGTTTGAAAAATAATCGTTCATCTAAAGTATTTTCAATTGAGGGCAGAAATTGACGCTTTCAGCCAGATGTTTACAACTAGTTTTGCAGAATGCTAAAACTAATTGCAGAGAAGTCTCGATAATAAAAGCTTCGCATCCCATTAGCGCCATAAATATGTTTTTCTGGACAAATAGAAACAAACATTTAATTCGAATATTGAATTAATCATTGAATCTAACCATATTATATGATTTCAGAAGCTAATACTATTTTTAATTTATATTAGGAAAGTTCGGACCTAGTTTGAAAAAATATACATTTGTTTAACATAATTGAGAATGGAAATGGGGAATGTGTCAAAGAGACAACAATCCAACCAAAGAGTAGAAAACAACCCAAGGCCACCAATGGGTCTTCAACACAGCGAGACAATCCAGCACCCATGCTCCAAAACAAAAATGTGTAGTAGTTCAGTAAAAATGGACGTCACACTAATCTCCGAAACATATAATCAATTAAAATTAAAAAAAAACACACAAGAATAAACAATGCACACAACAAATAAAACGGTCAGGAATAACATTAAATTTTGAATATATAAGGGTCAACTCATAAACAGCTTGACGGTGCGGCATGTTTTAATTTTGAAAAAATATTAATGGAAGTGAGAGAACAGATTGAAAACACTTTGAATTGGACATCGATTAAACAAACTTTCTAAGTCATTAAGTATGCTTACGACAACATCGCAATGAGCATATTCACGATAATTATATGTGTTACCACCATGTACACAGCCAATATGAACGTATTCACTTTGTAAACAAATGGACAGCTAGCAGTCCCATTAGTCTCTTTACCTGAACAAATATAAAATCAAGGAATAAAAATGTAAACTAGGATTATTGTATGATTAAAAAATTTGACTCATTTAATTATTGATATTCTATGAATCTTTAATATATTTTAATGAAAACATTCAAACCAATAAATCGAGTTTCGACGGGGAAATTTTAATAAAAAGATATGAATCATCTCTGTGAAACCTTGTTGAAATTAATCTAGTTTTTTTAACAAAAGTAAGCAAATAACGTATCTCTTTTAATTGCTGTTGCTAATTATTAAAATAAATAGCTAAGATTGAATACCATTCGAATAAAAATATAACAAGATAACAAGTTCAAAACAATGTTAGCATATAAAACGAATCCTAGATGAAACCAGTAACAAGGCTATGCAGAAACTTCTGCATTCTTGGTCTTTTTTCGTAATTCTGCAAAAAAAGCCCCAATTATTTTGTAATTTTAGGATGACAAAATTTCATCTCCTTGTTTACAGAATTGAGATGTATTTATACCCGGGTGATTGACCAGTCATATTGCAGGATTCTTGCTCCATAAGATATAATTACTGTTACTTGCTGGACGTCCAGTAACCTCTATTCCATGCAGATTCATGACGAATGAATAAATATACTAAGCATTTATTTTAAATATGTTGAAGAAAATTATTAAATATAATTTTTTTTAAATTAGAAACAAGGAAGAAAAGCAACGATTCTGACCTTTTCGTCTTTTCATATCGACTTCAAATGAATTCAAAATTTCCGACAATGTTGAAACATTTTTTTTTTATATTTTGCATCATTTTAACATTTATGATTCGAACTGAGCAGTTATCTTTGTAATTCAAATGCACAAACCCGGAATTCACATTGCTTTTAAGGTAAATGGGATGTCTAAATGTTTGACGATAGATTTTTTGTTTAGCCTTTGTTAAATAAATCTGGCTCAATGTACTTTTCAATTTCAATTTAAAAACTGAAGGTCTCGGACCTAGTTTTATCGTCAAAATGCATTTAAATTAACGAAATCACAGTTATTTTATATGGGTTATACATGTTGTATACGGGAAACTTAATTTTACTTATCGAGGAAGCATCAAACGAGAGTTGGTTGAAATTAAAAAAGAAGTGCTTTTCAAAAAACGTCTTAACAATCAAATATCAAGAGGGGGTCACAGACTCTATTGTTTTAAAAAGAAAATATATCCTAAATTGTCTAATCAAATGCAATATAATTATCTGTCCTTGATTTTGAAACGATCTTCCCGATAATTGTATGTTCACTTAACAACACTTTTTTATATTTTGAATCCTTAAATTTCAAGTTTTAGGTGTTTCTGTTTTTCATTTGATTTATACTTTGTAAACGCATTTTAAACCAAAAATGTATTTTTGCAACATTTCCAGAAGAGATGCACAGAAAAAGAAAGCCATTCTACCATAACAGCATTTCTGTTCAATCAACGTTAAAGCAAAATACATGTACCAGGAGAGTCTCCTTTATAATACACTAATGAAGCACACATGGTTTGAAAAATCTGTTTATTTGTACAATCCTTGGCTGATTGCCTGATAAATATAGGCATGCGTTGAACTTGTTAAACTTGTGCATATTTATACATGTTATACTAAGTTATTTCAATAAGACAACAAGAAATGTAAAGATTATAAAGTGTTTGACCAATCATTTAATCTAGAATTACAGAAAAAAAACCAAGCTACATATAGTATTATAATGTATTCTCACTGATCATGCATGATTAAATGTTCTTAAAAACATATATGTGAATAATCGATTTTAATCCATTACAGATTGAGATTAGTTTCCCCTGAAGAAAATGATAATATCCTGTGCAAAGAATGATCGTATTGTCAAATAGCATGGCCGGTAATGAGATAAATTTAATTTTAGGTTAAAAAGCTGATATAAATCGTAACAGTTAATTAGATATATCAACAATAATTTATAATCGTGATCATGGCGATTGTTTATCTCTTGCGGACTCATTTCCGTTCATATTAAAAAAAAAACAAAAAAAAAACGTGAAGGAACAGTTAAATTGTATTTACTGATTGTTGTAGGCATATCCTTTTTAGAAGTAATCCAATAATTGTATGAACCGGTATGTAGGTAAAATTGAGAATGGAAATGGGGAATGTGTCAAAGAGACAACAACCCGACCATAGACCAGACAACAGCCGAAGGCCACCAATGTGTCATCAACGCAGCGAGAAACTCCCGCACCCGGAGGCGTCCTTCAGCTGGCCCCTAAACAAATATGTATACTAGTTCAGTGACAATGGACGTCATACTAAACTCCAAATTATACACAAGAAACTAAAATTAAAAATGATACAAGAATAACAAAGGCCAGAGGCTCCTGACTTGGGACAGGCGCAAAAATGCGGCAGGGTTAAACATGTTTTTTGAGATCTCAACCAGGTACATAGATATATAGAAAAGTCTCAATGACACTAAAATTTTAAGTTTACAGTTAATGTATTTTGTTTTGCAATATACCGATAGAGTACTTAATGATTCAATATATACAAAACAGACACAAACTTAAGTAACATAAATATCTACTAGCTAGGGTATAACTACAACTTCAGGAAATATTTTTCTCTCGTTCTTGAAAATAGTTATGCAGTTTCTAATAATAATTTGGATGGTCATGAACAATATCATTTTAAAAAAGTGTGGTATCATAAATTCAATAATGACATGATCTGCTTCAACTGATAGCATGACTTAATTCAATTTTGTAACTATTAACAACGACTGTAAAGCTAAGTTACCTTCAAATCGATCTAAGAACAATTCTCCATACAACTGCCAATATGGCATGTATATGATATTCGGGATCAGTTGAAAATTTAGTGGGGAATTCGGGTACATAGTTGCCTGGTAAACGACCCCAAAGCCAAACAAAAGCACAGCAAATATCACAATAAAGAACATGACGTCAAAAAGCTACAAAGAAATTAATTTATAGTTCTACATTAGTAGGTCCCAAATGAAATTGATAACAAATAAACAAAACAAACTATAAGTAATAATAAAAAAACACACACAAAATCAAACATAATCTCGGAACTGTTTTTTTAAAAGTATAAGAAAAAAAACATGTTGATAAAATTTGCTGTTATAAAATTAAGAAATTATTTCTAATCTTTTATAATAGTTTTCGGTGAGGAAGTGATAATTTGCAAATTGCAAGTGTTGAGTGGAGGGAATTATGGTCATCGAAAAGATCCTAAGACATTTTTATTCAATTAAAAACCGATTTCTTCCTGGCAGTGCTCAATCGTAGATTTTTATCTACCTCATTTTTTAAACCGGACGTTTAAGCTTTTATTCGAACCTATAAATTAGGTTTTCAAAAAGATTTCTAGTCCCTCCAACCTTAAACTTTTTACAATAACCTTATTTTAAATATGTGTACAACGATATACGACCTAATATGGTCATCTTTATCAAAATTTCCAGTTATCTGTTTGATCTAATTTTTTTTCAAAATTATATATTTCTACTTTTGATTGTATCAATAATCATATATGATAAATACATCAAGTTTATATTAAAACAAATTTTTATATAAAAGACATTTGTAAAGGAATTTAACAGATTGTTCCATACTATCAAATGAATATAAAGAAACTCTTATATTATAACTAAATTCTACTTTTTAAGCAGACTGATTGGGTACATTTTGAAAAATATCAATAACCAAATAAGGTTTTTAAGATTATTCAATTACACACTTAAAATCTTATTATTCATTAACGTAAACAATATGATATCAGAACTTACCATTTTTACAATCATAAGTATTTTTGGTCCAAGGTATTCCGTAACAAGAAAAAACTTCACGCTGTTGATTATTAATAGACCTAGTGTTAATGCATACGCCATTCGTACATAACAAAAGTCTTCATTTACAATTATTCTTCGCGACAATGTGGAGACAGTTATCATAATGTATATCAAGATTTCAAATATCCAACGAAAAATCATCCAGACTGATATATTCGTTGACGTTCTAGAGTTCAAAATAAGCTGAAAATAAATGTGTGATTGATAAATATTGTATGCAAGCTTTAAATATGTTAACAAATATAATAGCCATTGCATGTGAAGGATTTCAAATCTATGACTTGGATTAATTATTTCGATTCTAATGAGATAAATAATGTAATTAAAAATCTGTGCCGTCTGTGCAGCTGTTCTATTTTACCCTCTGTAAATCAAAGCGAAACATGTCAAATAAATCTTTCGCTTGCATGAAATATAACCTCAAGAAAAATATGTTTAATACTTGTGATTCCCAACCAAAAAAATTGTTTTAGTTGTTTACTTTTTACCATCCACATGTAACGACATGTTTTAATTAAGGAGTTAGTCTTGCTGTTTAGTTTACACATATCGTATATTTTTAAATATGCAAAAGGGATGAGACACATGTTAATCAAATTTGCAACGTCTACTTCCTGTAATCCATGAATGTGCAATAATGCATTTGAATAGAAAATAGAATAATATCTTCCTGCAAACTCCATTCCAATGCAATACTGGCACACGTAACTGAATAACCGTCACCTTGAGAGTTTTCATTCGTATGATGTAGTGTTATGAAATGCTGTTCATGCGCAAAAACAATTCATGGAATTTCCTGGAATTTTATTCTATATTTATTTCTTTACAGTTTTCCAACCTCAAATGTATTATTTCTGTTTTTATGCATTAGAATAAGATTGGCGGCTTTGAATTTTTTCAGTTTTAATTTTAACACAGTAAAATGGATATAGTAATGTACATAGATTTTAATACATGTGGCTTAACGTGGGTTGTAATTTGAAATTGCTGTTGATATTACTTTTCTGAGTCTGCGCTTAACATAAATATCGAGAATATTATCACTCTGTTATCAAAAAAGCGACGGAAGCATGTCATATTGAATGTATAACCAAAATTGATGATTTGTGTTGACCGAAATGATGGTAAGAAAGACAACATTGAAGTAACATATTGGTATACTCCACTTATAATAAACCATGTAATTTGGATTGTATATACTTCATCATCTTTCAATTATGATGGTCAGCTTCCATACGATTTTGAACTCCAGCGAAGAGTATGGATTATGAGATCTTCGCGATGGTGGATCAGGACTTGTCAACAACATTTCCATCTTCCGAGCAACCTAATTGGAGTTGGTGTAACATTTTTTTTTCTTATACGTTGTTGTCTGTTTACCTCTTTCTCCTGACATAATATTGTTGGTTTTTCTTCGGCGAATGATTTTGTATTGCCCCCTTGTATTTCCCCCTCCAATTTATGACTATGTTGCTCATTTTAACCCTTACTTATCATTTAAAAGAGGGCATCGTGTCACTGACTCACGAAAACTGAAATTTGATTTATCATACTTTTTTATTTACACAATTGCTGCTTTATTAAATATATGAAAATGAATAAGACCGAGCAGAACAAAGTTGAGTAGAGATCGAATTTATCAAATTGAAGGTGTAAGTCAATAAAAAAAAAAACCAAAACAATTGAGGTCTATCAATTTTATTCCATGTTCAATGGAATAAATGCAATGATTATGGTCACTAACATTTTCAATTATTCAGAAGAAGGATACCATCTATTTAGTGCAGCCTAATTTGAAGGATATTACAAATTTCTAATCATCGCCTCTTAAGGCAGAAATATGCTGGTTAATACGTCTGTTCATATGGCATCCTTGTGTCAGTCTATCCTTGCTATACATGCTATAGTGCCGAACCAGAAGTGAGGCAGACGGAATTGACCTTAAAACGATCGATCAAGAATATGTCCGATATGCCTATTTTTGGACATTAAAATCCAATACGATCGCTTTTAGGTCACTTTCGTCAAACGCACCAAATCTTGTTAGACACTATGGTTATCTTGGTGTATTAAGGGATGAGCAGAATTTTACACCGGAGTTAAAACTTCATACATTATAAGATGCATTTGTAAATATCCGTTCACCCTTGATTACAGCTTACGTACGCTTGACGAATCATACGGTTAGAATAAGGTTATACGCATTGAAAAATATTAAGACTATTATTCTGTTCACTTTTTTTAATGTAAAAAAAATAATATATGTTATATGCATCTGTAATATGGAAGATGATCATTTTTTTGTTTATCCTTATGTAGGATTTCATATTAGGGTAGGGCATTATTTACACCTCGTTTAACACCTACCAGATTGTCAAAATCTTTCTTCATAAATAAAATGTTTGAACAGCGGTATACTACTGTTGACTTTATTTATTAGAATTATTACCTCTTGTGTTTCCTCAAATACCGTTGATACTACCAAACCAAAAACAACAAAGTCATTAGCAGTGGACGTTTTCTCAGTTAAAGGATGTAAATCCGTCAGTACATACACGGCGAAAGCAATTAACATTGCCACATACGACACCTATTTGAAAAATAAAATTTGTAAATGACTGTGGAACTATACCTGCGTTACCGAGTTTGAGCTATAAGCAAATATTCGTAAGTTCATGATTTAAACATACATAAGTAACATGACTTGTACCACATGTGGAGCAGGATGTGCATACCCTTCCGGAGCACCCAAGATATCACCACCGGGTTTTTAATTGGGTTCTTGTTGCAGTCTTTATGTCTTGTTTTGTATAATGTTGTTTGGTTTTGATCAATTTTTATTTTTTGACATGTGATTGCCCGTTTTTTTCGACAAATTAATTGTGATATCCTTATCCTCTTACTTGGGTTAATTGTCGAATTTTGAAGAGATAACGATATGGGTTTAAATGGGAAAACATAACAGTACTATCATCTAAGAAAAAAAGGAAAGGTCCTAAGATACGTCTATATAGGTCTTTATGACCATTAATATATTCAACAATACCAGTATTTGTTTGTATTTGGAACTATAGTCGAGAGTATTAAGTTGTCCTTATATGTAATATCCCTTTTTTGACTGTTTTACATTTCTTACGTTACACCAATTTATACCTTTGGAAGTGTAACAGTGCAATACAACAAATGTCGTATGGGAAATTTGATCAACTTTACCCCCCTTCTAGCATATATGTATGTCTTACTTGTTATATATAGTAAGTAAGTACACATGCTGCATTTGTTAATTGAGTGTGGTTTATTTTTAATTGTGCGAATCTTACTTCTCATTTTACCATATAGGTCTCCAGACGATTAAGAACATGCGTTTTGTTTATGCTTATGTTTTCCAAATAGAATTCTTGATGCACGATTTCTCATTGATTAATACCTATACTTCTATTTCCATAGCACTCATGCTAAAAGCATATAAAACAAAAATATTGATAACTTACTAAAGAAAAAAAACATTTGATCAAAGGTGAGTTGTAAAAGTAATATATTTTCCAAATCCAGTTCGGCCATTTTACTGCAGATTGTGATGATGTTCCATTTGTTTTTTTCTCCTGTTCTTTTGTACCCGACATTACCAATGGAATGACTTTGTTTTTTCTTCTGTCATCAGTTTTGTCTAGACTCACTATATTCGTTATCAAAATTGGGATGAAAGCAACCGCAAAAAATATTGCCTTTAAATATAAAAGAAAAATTAAACAATTGCTACAATTTTTGTAAGAAACGCATTGGAATTCATCGCTTTAAAATCTAAAGTTCTATGGGTAATTCCATTATTGGTACCCAAAAATGAAAATAACGTCACGCCATTGGTCTCAATTTAATTGTTTAAAACGTTTTCAACCAATAACTGATTTACAATAATTTCTGATGTATGTTTTCTAATTAAAAACCTAGAGAACAATAGCTTTTTACATGACGAATTAAATACGATGTATGATAAAAACGACAAAAAATATAATAACCGAAATAACTCGACTTATACTATTACAACAGTAAATCATCAAAACATCGCTTAAAACATTTTTGATTAAATGAAACGCATGATACTATTATACGGAGTTGTCCTCTATTTAACAATTTGATGAATAATTTATCCATTGATTCTGCTGCGGAAAAAAATATTACTATGTTGAACACGATACACTCATTCAATTCAACAAGAACGATACATACATGTACATCGATTGAACGACTACTGCTTTATAAGATATATTGATTGATAAACACTACAATAAAAGTACTTTTGGTTGCACACACAAACAAAACGCCCAAATAGAAAAAATAAAAAAATAGAAAAAACTATTTGTGAGTTTTAGTATGTTGAGCCGAGGTACTAGAAAGCTGACAGCTTCAGCCAGGGCAGGTGTTTGATGGACCCCGTTGACTTAGCAGGGATTTTCGTCGGTGCAATCAACTCTAAGGGATTCAAGACCGGGTCATTTTTCCGAGTCTATGTATACAACTTCGGAGCTTGAAAGCGTTGCCATTCCAACAGTATCAACGGCAAGAAGGTTGATGCCAACACTTTCTCACATCCAGATAACACTGTTTACATTCCGTATATATCACCTGATCCATTACCTTGACCACCAAGAGACCTCCAGCCAACTTGAGATAACACAGATTTTGTGTCACAAACAGGTAATGTGATCTATACTGATTATTTAGCAGTTCCTAATAGAATTATATAGAATTGAAAGTGTTCATTAGAATTAAGGCATAGATGTGACACAGTCAATTGAAGAAAAAACATTTCAAGGGGAATACATAGATTTGGCCTGCCTACTAATAATTCAGTTAACACAGGTCCTGACACACAAAAGCTGACTTCGGTCCAGGGAAATTCATTTAAAAATCCGTGTCCTAACAACCAAAAATTACAAAATGGACAGATGCTTTCATCATTTTTTTTACATATTTATTGTTCAGTGCACATAAACCGATTTAGGGAATTGTGAATATACATGCACATAATACGCCTTGGGGTACAGAGAAGCAAGGGCTTGGCTCGAAAAATTACGATGAGCAATACCGACTAAGAAAAACTCAAGGACCATCTAGCTTACGGAGTAATAAAGACAATGAGCTTTTAATATATACAACCTGTGAATAATATCTTAAATGTGTCCTTTTATGTACCTAATAGCAATATTAATGCAGGTATTGATTATGGAAATAAATGCTATAGTTATAAGTATGTTTAAGGTGTGAATGTTCACATTGTTAAAAACCGCAAAGACAATATGGAAAGTGAGACCACATGTTGGCAATCCACAATACAGCAAAGGCTCTCAGTTTCAGTTTCGGGCACCAGGGGCTCAGTATAGAACAAGACCCCAGTTTAAGTTTCGCCCAAAGGGGGGGGGGGGGGGGGGGGGGGCTGACACAAGAGTAAGATTTTCCAATAAATATCAGAATTATGGCGGCTTGATAGAGGCCCTAATAAGATTTTCGATTAGTATGATAGGCTGGAGGCATATCCGCATGCAGGTGTAGCAAAAACAAATAAATAAAGGATTTTTATTTGGTTTTCATTTGAAATATTCAGGTCCGAGAATTTATTTTATTTTAAAGAATTAACAGTCGGCAAATTGTCCTTAAGTTGATACGTTGGATAAGTTTGAAAGGAGGTAAAAGCGTGTAGGATAGCTGTTCCCTTTTTGTTTCTACAATTCGGAATTCTATCGGTCTTGTACCAAAAGAAAAAGGAAGGAGGTTAACATCTAATTTTTCATATCCACAAGGTTCAGGTGACATTATGTTATAGATATTCTGTTCAATATGCATCTTTTGATGAAGTTATACACATGGATATCAATCGAAAAGTCAGCATTGATTGGGGTCCTGGATATAAAGTCCGTTTTTCGTTTGCTACCGGTGCATCCCTCAGGATTTGAATTATTAGGGAATTATTTTGATCAAAAGTTCTTTGTAGATAAAAATATGGCTATGGGTTGTTCAATGTCATGCAATTTATTCAATAGTTTTCCACATGTTTATAATGGTTAGTATTTGAACGGAGCAGAGTGAATTCACTTGTTCATTATTTGAATGGTTTATTATTTGGAGGTCCTGAGAACACACCTGTATGTCAAATGTTGCTAGACAATTTTTCAGGTATTTGTGTGGGATCAGGAGTTCCTATTGTTTCGGAAAAATCAGTTGGACCTGTAACAAATTTGAAATGTTTAGGTTGTGACATTTCCACTGTTGAAATGGTTGTCAGAATACCAAAAGACAAATTGATAAAGCTGAAGTCTTTACTTGGACCAATTTTGTTTAATAAAAAGATTAAAAACAAGAACATAAAATCAGTGGTGTGTTTGATGGCTTTCTGTTCAAGGGCAATTATTTCGTCTAGGGTTTTCCTTTGCAGGTTTTATGACGTCATAGGGTATATAAAAATAAAAAGCCTCTTTATTCAATTAGAATAAATAGAGTTCTAAGAGAAGATGCAAAAGTTTGGCTTATTTTTCTGGAAAATTTTAAGGGAGATTGCTTCTTACCAGAAAATGCATGGACAACAAATGAAACGTTACATTTGTACACTGACAACTCTGGTAACTCTGCTTTAGGTTGTGGTGCATATTTTTTTTATGGTAAATGGGCACGATATAACATGTATAAATGGCCGGAAACATGGTCCAATATGCCAATCATGACGGACACTATCAGTTAAGAGTAAGTTGCAATTGTTTTAGCTATGTCTATATGGCATCAGATTTTAAAAAATCGAAAGATTTTATTTCGACTTGACAACACGGCATTAGTTAGCATTATCAATAAAAAAAAACTATGTACATGTACCAAGTCGAAGCGTTTGATGACATTAATTCAACTCCTTGTTTTTTGAACAATGCAGCACAATATGCAGTTGAAAGCACAACATATTGACGGTTTTAGAAATGAAATTGCAGACTCGATTTTTCGATTTCAGCTGCACAGTTTCAAAGAACTAATGCCCGGGGATGAATCGATTCCAGTAAATAACCAAGAACAATTCGAGCTTATTAAAAAGCCAATACCAGTGAACCACATGTCTCAGTTCATTTCATACATGTCTTGCTTGGACATGGCACCATCCACGGTTGAGTGCTCTATCTCAGGCTTCAGTTTTTATAATAAGATTTATAATTACGAAGATATGTCTCAATTATTTGTTGTAAGAAAAATGATTGATGGAATGGCGGGGTTAAAGTTAAAGAGACCTAACAGTAGATTATCTATTACATTAACTATGGATCTATTAGAAAAATTATAAAGATTTTGTCCTCATTCTGTATCTCCAGATATGAAACTAGCTTATTTTCTAGTGCTTTTTCGATGGGATTTTTTGCACTTCTGCGAGTCAGTGAAATTAATTGACTTGACTTCTTCAAAAACCTATCAGTTAGATAGAGGGACATCAATTATTGTGGCACGAAAATCAGGTAATGAAATTCGTCCGGTAAAATTTTTTGCAAGAATATATAAAAACTCGACCTCCAATTAGTGTTCAATTATATTGCAACTTTGATGGTTCCCCCCAAACTCGTAATCAGTTTTCACGGACTCTAAAAAAAGCCCTGGGGGTATATTGGCTCTGACCAATCAAAATATTGGACGCATTAATTTCGAATCGGTGGTTCAACTTTAGCAACTATGCTTGGTTTTTCTGAGGGCAAAATCAAAGTAATGGGTGGTTGGAGTTCTAAGCTTTCAAAAGTTATATACGAATACCTAAATTTTGATTTATGTTTCGTTGAATTTAATGATTAATTAAGATTTTAATGTCGATACATGTATTAAATTGTAGGCTAAGACGTGTCATTATGGAGAGTAGGTTCATTCTTGATAAGAAATGCATTTGTGCACGCAAGACGTAAAATAGGTGGTGTTTATTTAGGTCTCCAAAGAATAGGAGTTAATATTTGTTGGCAAGGTTATGGTGGGATGGTTTTGAAAGATTTGGAATTGACTAAAAAAAAACCTGCTGAAATATGTAAAAAAAACAATATAAGTTGTCATACATATTGCAGGTAATGGTTTGGGGAAGACGAGGTTAAGTTATTTAGGAAATGAAATTAAGGCCACCTTGGAGAAAGTACACAGTTAAATTTGTCAATACTTCAATTGTTTGGTCCCAGATTTTACCGAGAACATATTAGCGTTACTCAGAGTCTTGATTGCATAATAACATGCAGACTTAGGATTAACAGTGCCATAGCACCATATAGAATGGGGGACATTTTAAAGAATCTAGATACATTTCCTACTAGTAAGTTTTAAAAGAAAGATGGTGTTCATTTGACAGATCTAGGAAATGACATGTTTCTGAATACTTTGCAAGGAGCACAAGAAATGTTTATTTGTTCTGGTTTACCGACATATCTAGGTAAATTTTGTAGTATGTATATATCTTAATTTTCTTTAAACCAGTATTGGTTCACATCCCAATCGCAGCTTCATCTCCACTTAAGTGGCGGTTGATCCGGTATGGTTGAGTTTGATATATACCGTACCTGATTTGGAAATTTCACTGCGTGTGATAAACTATAGTTACAGTTGGTCTATAGTTTAGTTATAAATTACATTTTATGGATCGCTATATCCCAGGATCCAACATATAATTTAGGTTGATCGCTGTATCCCAGGGTCATGTATCTATTTATCAATCTGTCTATATATATAT